TGACATGATTAATGTAGTGGAGAGAGCTAAAATGAAACTCTTCTACAGAGCTCTGTTTTCATTTTTTACTCTTGATTCTAAACTTTCCTTTTTTAAGAATGATGGATAATATGACCTTTTTGAGCGTCGGCATGGGAGAAAAAGAGAAATGGGTCTTTGTTTGAATGGCTAATAACTCGTACATCTAGAAAGTTGAGATTTGGACTGCTTCTTTTTTTGGAAAAGTCAAACAACAAAATGTGAAAAGCCTTATTTTTAAACATGCAATGTTCCAAAAAGCATTAACTCTCAGCTTTATTATGCAGCTGTTGTCCTAAAGAGCTAACATGGTTTATAAACAGTAGCTGCATTAACATGGGCACAAATAATTGGAATACAGGCTCGGAATAATAATTCGTCGTGTAAACATGTCAATCGGAAGATTCTGACCTGATTTGGTTCAGTCAGAACAAAATTGCATTCCAATCAAGAGGGGTGGTTTACGCCGATCATTATTCCAAAACAAGTCAGTGTAAATTCTTATACCAATCATGACTCTCTGTTTGGGCAAAAATAACCTAACCACGCATGTATACCGTACGTCAATGTGACACATTTCCGCCATTAGTGACAAGACGTAAACATGGCGTGTTAACATTGGTTTGTATCCAGCAAGAAAGTTGTGTCAGACACAGGTCTCCTCATGTTACGCAGGATCAGTATGTGCTGCTGGGCCAGCTTTATGATCATGTATGCTAGGAGCAATACAACCGCTCTCAGAACCTGGCTCAGGTCAATTCTGAGTGGACCTGAATCAGATGAAGTGAGCCACTACCGCATTCAATGGTTTGTTGACAGCACAGGTAAATACAACTCTTCTTCTGAGGTTGTTTTAGCGAAATTAGACAAGTCTGCATATGTCCAAATGCTCCTTATTCGAATAAAGCTGGGAGTATGTATATGCACATCATGATTGGATTATTTTATTTTGCACCCGACCCCTCAAATTTTTAATCAGATCAAGTAATTTTGCTTATGTAAACATTGCTAGTGTTCCAGGCTGACATTATGACAAATTAACATGTGGCAGAGTTTTTAAGTGGGATTAAAGCTCATGAAATATTTAAAATTCTTAAATGCTCTCCTGTGTAGAATAATTTAAGAAGTGATTGAAAGAACACTAATGAATGCAGTCCATCCTATGTCAAATGGCATAGTGTCCCATGTCCTTGAGGCTTTAACAGCAAAGATCTAAACACTCAAAGGCATCTAGGAAAGACCAGCACAGCCTCCTCAACGATCTAAGGAGACCACAGCGCATCCAGAGTCAATAAATCAATAATATCATCAGGAGTAGGTTATCTAATTCTTTGCAAGTAATCAGCAGAGGTTTAAAATGAACCTGGAACTTAACAGTGTAAGTTGGCACAGGGCTCAGGTGTGCTTTATATGTCTTGGTTACTGAAACAGGAGAAGTTTCAAAGTCTGAAATTAACGTGGAGGAGGGGTTTGCGTGTCTCATTGATCCCAGGAGCTAAGTTGTCGGGGGGCTTATTGCCTCTGTTAGGGTCACCTATGGCAAACAGGTTTTGGGGGAGGGATCAGACTAAGGGTAGTCCAAATAGAAACCTAATGAAGAATACAATATTTGATAATGTGTTTCCCTCGCCAGTACACGGGTCACCAGGGCCTCCCCTGGAACAATTAATTATTTGCATAATTCCATTCTGTAGATGTTTTGTTTTTGTTTTTTTTCAAATGTAAACAACTTCATTTACAACATATCACAAACATTACAGTATTGAAACGGGGCTCGAGGTATGTTATAATCACAATGAATTGCAATTAAATGAAACGAATGTTGACATAACAGTTACAATAGGTGAAGAGTAAAACAAGATTGTAAATCCAGTTCATCACATTGGCAGAATTGCATTCCCTTGAGCTTCCTTGGGATTGGTTCTCAAAGATTCAATTGACACTCTGTAATGTCATTGACAAAAAATGGCTGCCCAGCTTATGTGTTTATGTATATATTTATATATATATATATATATATATATATATATATATATGTGTGTGTGTGTGTGTGTGTGTGTGTGTGTATAACTGGAGTAGTAGCATTCCAACAGAGCCTTGTTCTCATCTTGTGTCCATTGCCTTTTCTTTTTTTTGTTCCAGTAGCCCATTTGTCATCACACCGCCTTGGTTCCTCAGCATGTGACGTAGAGCTTGTTAACCTGGGTGACGTCTGAGCCGGTTTGGCTTTCAAGGGTCTTGCCAAAGGAGCCACACTGGTAGATGTAGTTTGCCCCTTGCAGATATATGTATATATATATATATATACATATATATATATATATATGTGTGTATATATATATATATATATTAGTGATGCACGATATGAAAAATTTCAACCGATACCGATAACTGATAATTTTCTTCTTCTCATGGCCGATACCGATACCGATAACCGATAAATTCATATTTTTACATTTATTATAATCTTCATAAAATCTGCAGTTTGTGCAGGATGCAGCGATTGAAAACTGATATTTTTGTTGCTCTGGCCTATCTAGAACAACAAACAAAAGTTTTTGGCTCTTCAAATGTGGTCATTTGCTATAAATAACAATAACAGAGCAAAAAGCAGAACTTCATTTGATCCCCTGAACTGTTCAACAGAACTGTAAACGGTAAAGGAGCCATTATGAGCCGTTAGGCTTAGCATGCTGACCGGACTAACATCTGACGTCCATATGTCTGTGGTAAAACTCACGTGTAGTCCGTTCTTGTCGATCAGGTTGTGAATGTTTGTGGCGACAATATCACAGAGTGCAGGAAGAGACACATCCGAGAAGAAGCGGCGGCTTGGGAGAGTGTAACGTGGCTCCAAGTGTGCTATGAACTTACGAAAACCCGGGTTCTCAACGACGGAAAAAGGCTGGTCGTCGACCGCTATGAATTCCATCACTTTGTCGTTAATGGCTTTAGCCTTTTCGCTGTCTCTTGAGAAGCTTTTGCAGTTTTTAAACGCCTGCTGAATGGGGACATCGATCCTCGGTAGTGTTGTTGTCTTAGCTTTAGTACCGCTAGCAGCTTCGGCGGCTGTCTCATATTCTTTTAATACTGCTTCGCCGCGATGGCGACTTTTCAGATGAGCTATCAGATTCGTTGTGTTAAAACTTGACGTCTTCTTTCCTCCTCTTGAAATCCTCGCTGAACAGGTTTTGCATATAGCAATGCTGTTGTCATCTTCTGCCACTGAGAGAAACGACCATGCTAGTGAAGACATTTTATTATCTGTCAGGCAGTGACGGGGTCAGGCTTGGGACCTGCGAGTAAAGCTTGATAGAGGACGTGACCAGCGCGTCTCGGACGGGCGGCTACTCCGCCTGCAAACGTTACTCGTAATTTCATTAATATATCGGATCTTTCTATCGGAAAAATGCACCTATCGGACCGATAAAAAATGCCGTAATTTCCCCCCAAATCGGCCGATATTTTATCGGTCCGATAGATATCGTGCATCCCTAATATATATACACACACATATATATATATATACACATATATATTTATATGTTTCAGGTTAATGATTATAGGGATGATTGAGGGAACAGGGTTTGCTTTATTTGCAAGAGCAGCCTTGTTTGGTGTGAAAGCATTGACTAACAAAGGAAAATTCTCAAAAGACTGCTGCCATTATTTTTTATTGCAATAATTTTAAGGAGCTCACTAGTGCAATAGGAATGGCATTTGCTTGACGGCATTTCTCACCACTGGTGTACACTAATGGGTTCGGGTATTACCACCACGACAGGCACTGACCGCCTTAGAGGGGGCTGTTCCTCCCAGTCATGCCCCTCCAGGTCTCACTTTCACTTCCAACATGGCTGCTGAAGTCCCCCAGCAGGACGAGGGAGTCCAGAGACTAGGGGTACTTGTTTATAAAGCTCTTAATGGTCTGGCACCCTCCTACCTAGTTGACTGTCTACCCAGATATGTCCCAAACCGCTCCCTCAGGTCATCCAGTGCTGACCTGCTTGAAGTACCCAAAATGGCATACAAAAATCATGGAGAAGCAGCATTCTGCTTCTATGGGCCGACAGCATGGAACAAACTCCCAGTCTCCATAAGACAGGCAACCTCTGTTGATAACTTTAAAACACATCTTAAGATCTATTTCTTCACCCTTGCTTTTATTTGATCATGTCCGCACTATTTGCTATTATTATGATGTTGTTTTATGCTTCTGTATTTATTGTCTGCTTATTTTTATTTATTTTTATTTTTTTTGAAAGTCAGAACTTCTCCGGGTGGCACACCAGCCCAGGCTCCTTCCCCGCAAGAGAGGTGGCATTCCACGTCTCTGGTGCTAGTGTCTGCAGCCTGCACTCTACTCCTTTGGCCCCTCCTATGAGTGGTCAGCCCATGGGCAGGAGGTCCCACGTTGCCTCCTCAGCCCGGCTGGGCCCCAGGTGTGCAGGCCCGGCCACCAGGCGCTATCCATTGAGCCCCACTCCCAGGCCTAGCTCCAGGGAAGCCCCTGGTGACCCGTACTAGCGAGGGAAACACATTATCAAATATTATATTCTTCATTAGGTTTCTATTTGGACTACCCTTAGTCTGATCTCTCCTCCAGAAACTGTTTGCCATGGGTGACCGTAACGGAGGCATTAAGCCCCCTGACAACTTAGCTCCTGGGATCAATGAGACACGCAAACCCCTCCACCACGTTAAGGTGGTAGCCCGAGGAGGGGATTTTTTTTATTTTTTATTTTGTGTTATTTGTGTGGGGAAACCGGAGCTCCCGGAGAAAACCACACAGACATAGAGAAACATGTTAAGTCCTGACAGACAGAAAGCAGCAGCTTCAGTCTGTCAGGACCTGACATGTTCTTCTGTGCCTACTTGTTGGCCAGTGATGGCCTGTGTGTGTGTGTGTGTGTGTGTGTGTGTGTGTGTGTGTGTGTGTGTGTGTGTGTGTGTGTGTGTGTGTGTGTGTGTGTGTGTTTGTTTTAGGGTGAGGTGGGAGTTTTCATCTGCTGGTCCGACCTCCGCTGCTTGTACTGGCGCCGATGTTTAGGAGTCAATCCCTTTTTAACTCTCCTCCACCAGGAAATCTGAGGTGTTTCCTCAAAGGTCTCAGGTGTTGCTCCAGAGATCTCCTCCATCTTGGGTGTTGCTCCAGAGATCTCCTCCATCTCGGGTGTTGCTCCAGAGATCTCCTCCATCTTGGGTGTTGCTCCAGAGATCTCCTCCATCTTGGGTGTTGCTCCAGAGATCTCCTCCATCTTGGGTGTTGCTCCAGAGATCTCCTCCATCTTGGGTGTTGCTCCAGAGATCTCCTCCATCTCGGGTGTTGCTCCAGAGATCTCCTCCATCTTGGGTGTTGCTCCAGAGATCTCCTCCATCTTGGGTGTTGCTCCAGAGATCTCCTCCATCTCGGGTGTTGCTCCAGAGATCTCCTCCATCTCGGGTGTTGCTCCAGAGATCTCCTCCATCTCGGGTGTTGCTTCAGAGATCTCCTCCATCTCGGGTGTTTCCTTGATGGTCTCGAGCATATTTCGTTTTACTTTTCTCAATTTTCTTCTAAAATTTTCTTTGCTTCTGTTCTTTCTCGCCCTCCGTTTCCTAAACCTTGCTATTTTTAGCAGACTGTTTAAGGTCTCCAGCTGATCTTCATAAAACTCGTCTCTGCTTTGGGCCTCTCTCTGCAGGTCACTCACCTTCTGTTTCAGAGACTCGTTTTCTGTTGTCAGGTCTTCAATCAGCTTCATCTCTTTGCTGCTTTTGTCCAGAAGCTGATGCCTGACTTCCTCCAGTTGTGTCATGAGGTCGTCAGCCATCTGGTCCTTTTCCTCCAGCATAATGATTTGGGAAGCTACCATATCATTGCCCTCTTTAATCTTGGTGAGACAAATTGTTTCAGTCTCTGTTCTGCTCATGATCTCTTCCTGCAGCTCCCTCACAGTCAGCTTCAGAGACTGGTTTTCTGTAGTCACCTCTTCAATCAGCTTCATCTCTTTGCTGCTTTTGTCCAGAAGCTGATGCCTGACTTCCTCCAGTTGTGTCATGAGGTCGTCAGCCATCTGGTCCTTTTCCTGCAGCAGAATATTTTGGAAAGCTACCATATCATGGCCCTTTTGAATCTTGGTGAGATAAATTGTTTCAGTCTCTGTTCTGCTCATGATCTCCTCCTGCAGCTCCCTCACAGTTTGCTCCTGGGCAAGTTTTTCTGCCTCCAACTGTGTGAAGTTGTCATTTACAATTTGAAGCTGAGACCTTAAATCTTCCCCCTCTCTCTTGAGATTTTCGGCCCTGTTTTTCTCGGCCTGCAGCTGAGTCTTGAAAGATGTCACAAGTTCTTGGAGCTCTTGATTAACCCCAGTATCACTTGTTTCATCCTCTGCTCTTCTTGAAATACCATCCTCCTGCAGTTCCTTCACTTTCTGCTCCAGGGCAAGCTTCTCTGCCTCAAGCTGCTCAAGCTGCTCAAGCTGCTCAACCTGCTTGCTGTACAGCTGGTCTGCAAACTTGAGTCTTAGGCACAAGTCCTGCCGATCATTCTGGAGGGCTAGGTTCCAGCATCTTTCAGTCTCCAATTGAGCATTGAGGGACTGAAGACAGTTATGGAGCTCCTGTGCCTTCACGGTAATGATTGAAGTCTCCTCTGCTCTTCTTGAGACTTCTTCCTGCAGGTCTTTTACCTGCTGCTCCAGAGCAACTTTCGGGTGCTGTGTTACCTTCATGCACTGCATTGTGGCTTGTAAATGAAGAACAGTGAAAAAAATATCACAAGTCTTCTGGACTGGTCTCTCTGGATGGTCTCTGTAGATGCTCTCTGGATACAGTCTCTGTATACGCTCTTTGTTTACGGTCACTGTAAAGGTTCTCAGTAGATGCTCTCTGTAGATTGTGTGGTCTCAGATCAAACCTATGGAATAACAATCTGTGACTTGAGTCCTCATCTGGAGAGCTTTGATGTTGATGATGTCATTCTGGAGAGCTTTGATGTTGATGATGTCATTCTGACATCACAGTGCTAGTATGACATCACACATAATCATTTGCATGATTCCGTTCTGTAGATGTTTTTTTTTTTTTTCAAATGTAAACAACTTCATTTAAAACATATCACAAACATTACAGTATTTAAAAAGGAGCTCGAGGTATGTTATAATCACAACAGATTGCAATTAAATGAAACAAAAAAAAAAAACACAGACACACAAAAAAACCCCACAAAAAATACATTTTAACAAACAAAACAAAAAAAACGCACAAAAAAAAAATAAAATAAAAAATCCTCCTTGGGCTACCACCTTAAAGCCTGTTTGACCTTTTTAAATCTTGAGAAGACATGGGTGCTTTTTATTGAGATTTTCTTTTCCTTACTTGTTGCACCACAAATTACATCAGAATTCCTCACAGCCTGCTTCATAATTTAGAAAGGAAACTAAAATGTTAACTAGATGTATAAAACTGCGGTAGAATACTGTGTGAAAGGCTGATATAATTGTCTGGACAAAAAGTAAATGACCTCAAGTATTTCAACATGAAAAATTCAAAGACACGGATAAACCGATACCGATAACCGATAAATTCATATTTTTACATTTATTATAATCTTCATAAAATCTGCAGTTTGTGCAGGATGCAGCGATTGAAAACTGATATTTTTGTTGCTCTGGCCTATCTAGAACAACAAACAAAAGTTTTTGGCTCTTCAAATGTGGTCATTTGCTATAAATAACAATAACAGAGCAAAAAGCAGAACTTCATTTGATCCCCTGAACTGTTCAACAGAACTGTAAACGGTAAAGGAGCCATTATGAGCCGTTAGGCTTAGCATGCTGACCGGACTAACATCTGACGTCCATATGTCTGTGGTAAAACTCACGTGTAGTCCGTTCTTGTCGATCAGGTTGTGAATGTTTGTGGCGACAATATCACAGAGTGCAGGAAGAGACACATCCGAGAAGAAGCGGCGGCTTGGGAGAGTGTAACGTGGCTCCAAGTGTGCTATGAACTTACGAAAACCCGGGTTCTCAACGACGGAAAAAGGCTGGTCGTCGACCGCTATGAATTCCATCACTTTGTCGTTAATGGCTTTAGCCTTTTCGCTGTCTCTTGAGAAGCTTTTGCAGTTTTTAAACGCCTGCTGAATGGGGACATCGATCCTCGGTAGTGTTGTTGTCTTAGCTTTAGTACCGCTAGCAGCTTCGGCGGCTGTCTCATATTCTTTTAATACTGCTTCGCCGCGATGGCGACTTTTCAGATGAGCTATCAGATTCGTTGTGTTAAAACTTGACGTCTTCTTTCCTCCTCTTGAAATCCTCGCTGAACAGGTTTTGCATATAGCAATGCTGTTGTCATCTTCTGCCACTGAGAGAAACGACCATGCTAGTGAAGACATTTTATTATCTGTCAGGCAGTGACGGGGTCAGGCTTGGGACCTGCGAGTAAAGCTTGATAGAGGACGTGACCAGCGCGTCTCGGACGGGCGGCTACTCCGCCTGCAAACGTTACTCGTAATTTCATTAATATATCGGATCTTTCTATCGGAAAAATGCACCTATCGGACCGATAAAAAATGCCGTAATTTCCCCCCAAATCGGCCGATATTTTATCGGTCCGATAGATATCGTGCATCCCTAATATATATACACACACATATATATATATATACACATATATATTTATATGTTTCAGGTTAATGATTATAGGGATGATTGAGGGAACAGGGTTTGCTTTATTTGCAAGAGCAGCCTTGTTTGGTGTGAAAGCATTGACTAACAAAGGAAAATTCTCAAAAGACTGCTGCCATTATTTTTTATTGCAATAATTTTAAGGAGCTCACTAGTGCAATAGGAATGGCATTTGCTTGACGGCATTTCTCACCACTGGTGTACACTAATGGGTTCGGGTATTACCACCACGACAGGCACTGACCGCCTTAGAGGGGGCTGTTCCTCCCAGTCATGCCCCTCCAGGTCTCACTTTCACTTCCAACATGGCTGCTGAAGTCCCCCAGCAGGACGAGGGAGTCCAGAGACTAGGGGTACTTGTTTATAAAGCTCTTAATGGTCTGGCACCCTCCTACCTAGTTGACTGTCTACCCAGATATGTCCCAAACCGCTCCCTCAGGTCATCCAGTGCTGACCTGCTTGAAGTACCCAAAATGGCATACAAAAATCATGGAGAAGCAGCATTCTGCTTCTATGGGCCGACAGCATGGAACAAACTCCCAGTCTCCATAAGACAGGCAACCTCTGTTGATAACTTTAAAACACATCTTAAGACCTATTTCTTCACCCTTGCTTTTATTTGATCATGTCCGCACTATTTGCTATTATTATGATGTTGTTTTATGCTTCTGTATTTATTGTCTGCTTATTTTTATTTATTTTTATTTTTTTTGAAAGTCAGAACTTCTCCGGGTGGCACACCAGCCCAGGCTCCTTCCCCGCAAGAGAGGTGGCATTCCACGTCTCTGGTGCTAGTGTCTGCAGCCTGCACTCTACTCCTTTGGCCCCTCCTATGAGTGGTCAGCCCATGGGCAGGAGGTCCCACGTTGCCTCCTCAGCCCGGCTGGGCCCCAGGTGTGCAGGCCCGGCCACCAGGCGCTATCCATTGAGCCCCACTCCCAGGCCTAGCTCCAGGGAAGGCCCTGGTGACCCGTACTAGCGAGGGAAACACATTATCAAATATTATATTCTTCATTAGGTTTCTATTTGGACTACCCTTAGTCTGATCTCTCCTCCAGAAACTGTTTGCCATGGGTGACCGTAACGGAGGCATTAAGCCCCCTGACAACTTAGCTCCTGGGATCAATGAGACACGCAAACCCCTCCACCACGTTAAGGTGGTAGCCCGAGGAGGGGATATTTTTATTTTTTATTTTGTGTTATTTGTGTGGGGAAACCGGAGCTCCCGGAGAAAACCACACAGACATAGAGAAACATGTTAAGTCCTGACAGACAGAAAGCAGCAGCTTCAGTCTGTCAGGACCTGACATGTTCTTCTGTGCCTACTTGTTGGCCAGTGATGGCCTGTGTGTGTGTGTGTGTGTGTGTGTGTGTGTGTGTGTGTGTGTGTGTGTGTGTGTGTGTGTGTGTGTGTGTTTGTTTTAGGGTGAGGTGGGAGTTTTCATCTGCTGGTCCGACCTCCGCTGCTTGTACTGGCGCCGATGTTTAGGAGTCAATCCCTTTTTAACTCTCCTCCACCAGGAAATCTGAGGTGTTTCCTCAAAGGTCTCAGGTGTTGCTCCAGAGATCTCCTCCATCTTGGGTGTTGCTCCAGAGATCTCCTCCATCTCGGGTGTTGCTCCAGAGATCTCCTCCATCTCGGGTGTTGCTCCAGAGATCTCCTCCATCTCGGGTGTTGCTCCAGAGATCTCCTCCATCTCGGGTGTTGCTCCAGAGATCTCCTCCATCTTGGGTGTTGCTCCAGAGATCTCCTCCATCTCGGGTGTTGCTCCAGAGATCTCCTCCATCTTGGGTGTTGCTCCAGAGATCTCCTCCATCTCGGGTGTTGCTCCAGAGATCTCCTCCATCTTGGGTGTTGCTCCAGAGATCTCCTCCATCTCGGGTGTTGCTTCAGAGATCTCCTCCATCTCGGGTGTTTCCTTGATGGTTTTGAGCATATTTCGTTTTACTTTTCTCAATTTTCTTCTAAAATTTTCTTTGCTTCTGTTCTTTCTCGCCCTCCGTTTCCTAAACCTTGCTATTTTTAGCAGACTGTTTAAGGTCTCCAGCTGATCTTCATAAAACTCGTCTCTGCTTTGGGCCTCTCTCTGCAGGTCACTCACCTTCTGTTTCAGAGACTCGTTTTCTGTTGTCAGGTCTTCAATCAGCTTCATCTCTTTGCTGCTTTTGTCCAGAAGCTGATGCCTGACTTCCTCCAGTTGTGTCATGAGGTCGTCAGCCATCTGGTCCTTTTCCTCCAGCATAATGATTTGGGAAGCTACCATATCATTGCCCTCTTGAATCTTGGTGAGACAAATTGTTTCAGTCTCTGTTCTGCTCATGATCTCCTCCTGCAGCTCCCTCACAGTCTGCTTCAGAGACTCGTTTTCTGTTGTCAGGTCTTCAATCAGCTTCATCTCTTTGCTGCTTTTGTCCAGAAGCTGATGCCTGACTTCCTCCAGTTGTGTCATGAGGTCGTCAGCCATCTGGTCCTTTTCCTCCAGCATAATGATTTGGGAAGCTACCATATCATTGCCCTCTTTAATCTTGGCGAGATAAATTGTTTCCGTCTTTGCTCTGCTCATGATCTCCTCCTGCAGCTCCCTCACAGTTTGCTCCTGGGCAAGTTTTTCTGCCTCCAACTGTGTGAAGTTGTCATTTACAATTTGAAGCTGAGACCTTAAATCTTCCCCCTCTCTCTTGAGATTTTCGGCCCTGTTTTTCTCGGCCTGCAGCTGAGTCTTGAAAGATGTCACAAGTTCTTGGAGCTCTTGATTAACCCCAGTATCACTTGTTTCATCCTCTGCTCTTCTTGAAATACCATCCTCCTGCAGTTCCTTCACTTTCTGCTCCAGGGCAAGCTTCTCTGCCTCAAGCTGCTCAAGCTGCTCAAGCTGCTCAACCTGCTTGCTGTACAGCTGGTCTGCAAACTTGAGTCTTAGGCACAAGTCCTGCCGATCATTCTGGAGGGCTAGGTTCCAGCATCTTTCAGTCTCCAATTGAGCATTGAGGGACTGAAGACAGTTATGGAGCTCCTGTGCCTTCACGGTAATGATTGAAGTCTCCTCTGC